TGAACTGTAGGCATTAATCGATTCAGCCAATGACGGAGAAAGAAATCTAGGTCAGGGGAAGCCCCATGACCTCAAGATGTTCCCCTTACGTCACGAACCACGTGACCGAGGTAATGAGGCGGCGCCATATTGCCTCCTAAATCACTCTGGTTCTTTTTCTCCACACCAAGGACTAAGTCAAAGCTACGGAAAAAGTGAGGTGGTCTATGGTGGGTATGAACTATGTGAATAGGCGGGTTCTGAGAACCCTCTACCTAAGTTTGTGTCAAACACAACCCCAGATTGGGCTGCAGTTCCGTTAGTGTTCACGTAGCTGTCTTTCAGTTATCAGTTACAATTTGTATTCAAACACCTGACCCGCAGAATTGATATTTTATTTCCGTTTTATCTAAAGATTAAGTGGTTAAATATTCATTGAACCGTATTTATGGTTATTAAATATGGTAATTTAAATTTAAAGAAGAGAAAAAGTACCAACATTTTCCCGGACACATTTGCTAAAACGTAGCATTCAAAATAATTGATATTTCAACCAATACAATCACATATGTTATGTGGTTATATCCAATATTGCGGGGATGAATTAATCATTTGATCTTTCAACCCAGTACGTATGTATGTCTCTTATTAACGCACTGACATAGTCCGGCTAGTTAGATTGATGTTCATCGAGTTATATATTGCCCTATCCGTTTGTTGTCTAAAGATCTACATATAGTATGTTATTTCCACATCCCTCTGTCATTGAGATATCGACCTGATGAATAAAACATGACGACCATTACCATACTACAGATTAACGTGTTTATAGTAGCAACATAATCATACCATGACATTTTGCTAACGAATGTTTTGGTATTTTACATACATGTAAGGCCATGAATTTGCTTTTCTTTCTAAATTGAAATGCAATAAAAAGCCTTCAGCTAATGTGTTCAATTGATTATTCATTCTGAATCGCATTATGTACATAAACGTGTTATGAAAGAGAGCGTTAACGTGTCCCAGTATCGCGTTATGAAAATTCGGAATGCAATAATTCCGAGCATGAAAATTATAATTACATCAATGTTCGATCAGATATCGGTTTTTATCATCTCCTTGCTTTTCATTATTTATGAAAGTTAGTGAATATGCTCATCATAGTTCTTTCTATCAACAATTGTTGTAATTCGACATAGAAATGACATCAACTCGACTTGTAATTTTGCTGGTCAACCAGAATGACGTATTCGGTTGACTAAGGTGCTGATATGTCACACAGTTTTGTTAACGACAGCAATGGGATAATGTAAAATCGAAATTCGTGATCCGCGAAATTCGGTATACGGTCAACTCAGTCATTTTGATTGATAATTGTTAGAAAAGTCAGAACACACTTATTAATATCACACTGAGAGTATAAAAATAATATATTATGTTAAGAATACAATATAAATATATGATGAATATTCATTACTGTCATTTGATATAAAGATAACCCTAATGTGTAAATAAATAAAACATATTTTTCCCATGACACCATAATCTTTTGATCGACACTATTTTGATTTGATCTTTTTTTACAAAGAAAATAAATCCGTTCTATAAATAATTTTCCCATGATACGGTAGTTTTTTTTCGATCGACCGTCTGTCACTACCACTTTAATCATGTGTGCCTTACGATACTCGTCTTGCTAGGGCAGTTAAGAAGAACATGTGTTAGTCATTCCGGCGTCTACAAATTGCTGCTACCATGAGTACAGTTAATATTGATGTTACAACCATCGTTCTAGGCATCACTATTTTTGTTCTCCTCTCCTGGATTATGCGACATTGTGGACCGGGGTCAAATTATCGATGTGGCAAAATACTACCACCTCGTCCACCTGTCCTGCCAATCATCGGAAACCTGCACATGATATGGAGTCGAAACCCTTGGCAGGACATGATGAACATTGCTAAAAGATACGGTAACGTGTACAGACTAAAGCTAGGGACAAAAGAAGTGGTTGTGCTGAATGGTTATGTTGCAATTAAACAAGCTCTGCTGAGACAGAACGAGAGTTTCAATGAAAGATCCGTCAACATTCAGATTGAGATTCTGGACAACCAAGGAAGAGGAGAAAAACATCTTACGGGCATTAAACATTGTTCTCAAATTCATCTTTCGACAAACTTATATTTAAAATTCGCCTATTTGCATGGAAAACTTTGAGAACCGTATTTTCGAGAGAAAAACAATTCAACTAACTTAATTATTAGGAGAAGGAGCGTGGAACAACTGGAAATTACAATTTTGAGTTACCGACCAAAGTGCAAA